GGTCCCCGGGAGCCGAGGGCAGCGAGGTGTCCGGGCCCTGTACCTCGCCGAGGCCAGGCACGGCCGCTCTGGCTTTGGGGCGTCTTCCCCACACGCGTTCCCACCGCCGCCGGCACCCAGGGCCGTGCCAGAGCAGCCGGGGAACAGCAAACCAGACCAGTGTCCCCTCCTAGGGCCGAGCCTCCTTTTTATCGCCTACCCCGAAGCAATCGCCAACATGGTGGGATCCACCTTCTTCGCCATCATATTCTTCCTGATGATGATAACGCTGGGGCTGGACAGCACGGTAGGGAACTCCATCGAGCGCGACAGCACAGCCGCGCCGCCTCGGGCCGTGTCCCCAGCGGGGACTGGGAATGTCTGCGTCCCCCGGGGAATAGCGGGCTGACAAGAGGAGCTACGGCCTTGGGAAGGAGGGCTGCCTGCCTGAGCCCTCTGAGCGTGGGGACGGAGGGAGCATCGCGCCATCGCCTCCAGTGGGTCTGAGCTGGCTCTCCCCAAAGCCTGTCAGAGGGGATGGTCTGGAGGGAGACAGGACGGGATGTCCCCGCTCTGCTCACAGGCAGAGGGGGCTTGCAGGGAGCCGGTTTTCTCCGAGAGCGTGACTGTCCCCACATCTCATTTCTCCACCCCATGCCGGCGTTTCCTTTGCAGTTTGGGGGCTTGGAGGCCGTGATCACGGCCGTGATGGACGAGTACCCCCAGGTCCTGGCCGGGCGACGGGAGCTCTTCGTCCTCGGCCTCATCACAGTCTGTTTCCTGGGCTCCCTGAGCACCCTCACCTACGTGAGTACCACCGGGCACCGCTCTGCTCCCGTCCCCACCACACACCTACTCGTTTCTCCAACAGTCCTCGGTGCGGGACTTTGCCGAAGACCTGCTCCGAGCCCCGCGGGGTCTGCAGCCGCCCTCCCCTCCCTTGTGCCGTTGCAGGGGGGAGCCTACGTGGTGAAGCTGCTGGAGGAGTTCGGTGCTGGCTGCTCAATCCTGGCGGTGGTGCTACTGGAAACGATAGCTGTCTCCTGGTTTTATGGTAAGAAACTGCCTCTGTTATGGAAAACATCCTGCAGGCACCTACACGGGTGTTTAACCTTACGCACGTGAGTAAATGCCAGGGGATTCAGGGGCAGAAGCACGTGTGTGGCTCCTGGCGAGGCTGCGATGGGGCACCGTGCCCGCGCCCCTGTGCCCACGTCCTCCGCGGCTCTCCAGGGCCGTGACGGCTCTCTCCTCCGGCAGGGATGCAGAGGTTCTCCCACGATGTGAAAGCCATGCTCGGCTTCACCCCGGGAATGTTCTGGAAGGTGTGCTGGGTCGCCGTCAGCCCTGCCTTGTTAGCGGTGAG